AAAAATGATATCAGGATGATGAATGTAGCTACAGGAATCATTCTGGTATAACCACTCAAAATCCAGCGACATACCAGTACATCACTGGTCCTTGGTGAGCATATATGTAACATTCTTTTTTTTCATGCAGCCTGAGAAGGTAACAGATTCTTCCATTCACATCTATCGATGTGGATGAAGAAATCTCTGCAAGAAAAAGTATGTGGTATGCCCACCATTAAAATACACCGTCCTGCATCCACCCACTTCTAATGCTGAGCATACATGTAATGTTCTTTTTTTGTGGTGAAGAAATCTCTGCCAAAAAAAAAAAAAAAAAAAAATGTATGTCGAAACATAGGAGCTGCAGCGTTCCTGCAAAGCAAACAACAACGGTTAACAATAAAACAGAGTAACAATAGAACATTAACTCAATAAAATGACAACTTTTTTCAATTGAAATCTGTGCCAAAAACTTTAAAAATATATATGCCGTAGCATAGGAGCGATCCGCCCACTGACCACTCCAGGCCCCCATGCTTGGGCATACATGCTCTTATTTGCTGCACGCACCGATGTATATGTTCTGGGCAGCCTGTATTTACAAATACAGGCACAGCTCTGCTTCTCCATTCACTGTTGGAGATGAGCAGAGTCTCAGATAAAAAATCACTGGCTGAGACCTGCTCACATACACCTCCTGCAACAAATGACAGCAGGGGTCAGCGCGCACGTGCGCTCTAAACCTGGAAGAGCAAAACGGCATACTGATATGTTGCTTTGCTTGTAGCTACTGCCCGTCCACAGTACATTGCGTGCAGGTGGTCAGCAAGCGGTTAATGTTTGAAGCATCAGAAATAACGTAATGACATATTAAATGATCCAAACTGATTCGGATTAATTTCATTTTTATTCTGCATTATTATAAATAATGCACTACATATGAAATGGAAACATATTGTAATAAATACAGTAAGATATAAAAGTGAAATAAGATAATGATCCCTACTTATTGTGTTTTGGGTTGGATGGAGGTGAATCCATCAAAATCTCTGAATCATAACATAACGAATGAATCTGAAATTATTTTCGTTCCGTTCGTTATTTCGGATGCACGTGACTCCAGTTGATATCGTCCAATCATCTCATTTAATTTCTCTTTGTAGGTTGGACTAGCAGGGATATCTTAGAGCGCATAAGTAATCACCTGAAATAATGAATTAGCGCATTATGTTTTGGCGGTTTTTCCACCTCACTTATTCACTTGGTGATAAATATGATAAGGGATTACAACCTTTTGTCTATACATAAATTTAGCCAATCCTCATGTGGCTTTTACCAATGATGTTAATACCAAATGATAACTACTGTGCAAAAAATAAAGATCTAATTTATTTACAATCAATTAGAACAAAATAAAAAGTAGCCGGTATAACTTTAAAAGTAATGATATTACAATGTAAACACAGAATGTTACAAATACATAGAGACAACTACAGGAAAGAAAGTTACAGGAAAGAAACATAGAATAATGATGGTACATTACGCAGACATCCTGATGATTGGGCTTCAAAGGAGAAAAGGGCAGAAGGAGAGCAATGGCTTACTTTTATATCCCTCCCCCCCCCATTCCAGGTCAAGTCACACCCTTCAATAATTTCCAGTATTTTGACATTTCTGTTCAATGGGTGGCTTTGTGACTTGTGAAAGATATCGGCCAACTGTAGCTCATCAGATGGAATTTATGATAGGCCAATGTCCAGCTGAGCATACCGCCTTTGAATTCAGTTCCCACAGGAAGATCTATGACCATACTCCCTAGGAGGTGACGAGTCCAGGGCCTACTTCCATGCATCAGCCAGGTGGCCATACTAACATAAACCTCTAGAGCAGGGGTGTCCAAACTTTTTTCAAAGAGGGCCAGATTGGATAAAGTGAAAATGGTGGAGGGCCGAACATTTTTCCGAACATTCTTTGAACCATTACAATTAAATGCAAATACATTATTTTATGCCAAGTTAATTGCAAACAACATACTTTTCATTTCACAACATTAAGATCAACTGACAGCTGAGTTTTCACAATGTATTGAAAATAAATTTTAAAAAAACTTACCTGCACTAATGTGAAGGGTGAAAAAGGTAGCTGGAGCTGAAGTCTCTGCTCGGCAGCCGGGAGGGGAAGAGAAACACACTTCACGCTGAAAGCCCGGCCCTGACGTCACCGCCCTCTGTCGCTCCCAGCGCGGCGCAGTCACGCATGCGCACTGCTCTCAAGCAGAAGACTGTCTGCCACAGAAGGGAGGGCCGTGCCACAGCCGCATTTACACAGACCAGGGAGAACGCGCCGCAGTCAGGCATGCGCACTGCCCTCTGCTCTCAAGCAGAAGACTGTCTGCCATAGAAGGGAGGGCCACATTATCCAGAGCAGGGAGGGCTGTTGGAGGGCCGTATTAAACCGACCCCCGGGCCGTAAATGGCCCGCAGGCCGGACTTTGGACATGCCTGCTCTAGAGGAAACCTTCAAGGGAGGGTTTTGAGGTGATGAAACTGATGGTAAATTGCATATACAGTCAATGTCCACTTAGAGCTTCTTGGGAATACAAAAGTTCATAAATAATGATGACTTATCATTTATGATGACCTTTGATTAAGTGCTGTTCCTGTATTTTGCATGAACTGAGACTTGGACGCCTATCAAAAGTTCATAATAATGTTCATGAAGGTAAAAAATTATTGTAGGACCAAAATAGCCATTACAGTTAAAACGAATATAGCCAATCTTCCGAAATAACGTCCGAAAATATGAATCAATTTGGAACAGCAAATAAACAAAGCAAATCCAAATATTTTTATTTATTTCAGGTACTTATATAGCACCATCAATTTCTGCAGCACTTTACATATATATTGTACATTCACATCTCAAGGGGTGTACAATCCAAGGTCCCTAACTCACATTCATTCATACACATACTAGGGCCAATTTAGACAGGATCCAATTAACCTACCAGCATGTCTTTGGAGTGTGGGAGGAAACTGGAGTACCCAGAGGACACCCACACAGGCACAGGGAGAACATGCAAACTCCAGGCAGGTGGTGCTGTGGTTGGGATTCGAACTAATGACACTAGTACTGCCAGGCGGAAGTTCTACCACTTAGCCACTGTGCTGCCCGTATATAAGAAATGAATCTGAATTTACAAAATGAATTCCAAAAACGAATCTTACTTAACAAATCTGACCAAACAATATGATTTACTTAATGAATGAATTTGAAATGTAACAAATGTTTCCATTTTGCACATCTCTAGTGCGGGGATTTCACAATCCTGTAATTTGTGAGTGGTGGCAGACTACATGTGTTTTTTTGTTTTTCTGGATCAGATGACCCTTTTTTCATATTATTTATTGGTGTGTTGGCACATTTCAAGAATTGCAGTTGTTTTTTTACCTTCACATCCCCTATTCATGACAAAACCATGGTAAGTTTAGAGACAGACACATCAACCTCTGGCCATTTGGCCCATTAAAGTTCATCAGTTATGAACTGGATAAGACTTTTTTAACCCCTTCCCGCCCGCTTTCAGAAGCCGGGAGGCGGGATGGGCGGGGTTTAGGGAGCATGTGACCGCCATGACGTGTCATCACAGCGATCACATGATCGGGAAAGGTCCCGATCGAAAGAGCAGACCGAGACCTTTCCGTGAGTACCGGACATGTGTGCTGGGAGCGCGCAGGGCGCGTGCTCTCAGCACATATGTTTTTTGATAATTGCACACAAATGTGCGGCTGCTCGGTGTCTAGGCCCAGACACCAGGAGGCCGTACATTTGTGTGCTGCCGGCGTGAAGAGGTTAAACAGTACTTTCTATTGTTCTAATAAGTTCCTTGTGACTGGCTTAGCTGGTTTTCGATTCTGCATATATTCCATATTGAAGTGGAAAGGGTGGCATTTTAATAAGTAGGACATCAGTATCCTCTGGAGGCCAGCTAACATTCTTTTATGAGAAGACTTAGCACCCTCCTCTTTTATGTGTTATGATTCACCTTCCTCACTATCAAGTTCATCTTGAGACAACAGGCACAACAGGAGCAAAATCGTTCTTTGAAGAAAATTGCCCTCCAGGGAAGGAGGGGATTTCACAAGAACAGAGATGATGCAGATGATTAAGGCAGGCACTAATAAAGGAATACATTCCTTAAGATCTATTTTCCCTAAACTCAGTCTAAAGCTTCTAGTAGCAGTCTGATAAAAGGAAAATTACGTCCATAAAAGTTTCTACTCTTCCCCTTTGGCTAAATTCAAGGAACAAGAATGACGAAAGAGCTCTTTATACGAGAGTGAAGGTTTATGAGCTAGCACAAGCTGTGTAATCATTTTATTTTTCATGTTTTTTAGCCTGGAGAAAAAGAGGCAGAAGAAAACCAGAATGGAATAAAATGTAAAATAGACTGTTATTGATTAAGGTTATCACAAACCATGCCTTCTATAAACCAAGGCCCCGATCTTTGGCACATTGTATCATTGTATCACAGGTAAAAGCTGCGCTGATGAGGGGAGAGGGTGAGAACTTATTTAACCATTTGCCCTACGGAGGATTTACCCTCCTTCCTGACCAGGCCATTTTTTGCGCTGCGGCGCAGCGTTAATTTAACTGATAATTGCGCGGTCATGTAACGTTGCACCCAGATGAAATTTAAGTCCTTTTTTTTCTCACAAATATAGCTTTCTTTCTGTGGTATTTGATCACCTGTGCATTTTTTATTGTTTGCGCTATAAACAAAAAGAGACTGACAATTTTGAGAAAAAAATATATATTTGGACTTTTTGCTTTTAAACATGTCCAGTAAAAAAATCTAATTTTGTCATAAATTTAGGCCAGAAAGTATTCTGCTACATGTCTTTGCTAAAAAAAAATCCCAATACATGTACATTAATTGGTTTACGTGAAAGTTATAGCGTTTACAAATGGTGGTATAGATACTGGAATTTTTTTTTCTTACTAGTAATGGCGGTGATCAGTGACTTATAGAGGAACTGTGCCGGGCATTCTGACACTGAGGGAAACTGACTTGGTGTTACTGACATCCCCAGTGACACCGATACAGTGATCAGTGCTAATAAAAAGCACTGACACTGTACTAATGGCACTGGGCAGGAAGGGGTTAACATCTGGGGCGATCAAAGGGTTAATTGCGTGCTGTTTCACTATGTTAGCTGTGTGTGTGTTTCACTGTAAGCACACTGCTTTGTATGGCTCTGCTATGCAGACTCATTCAAAGCAGTGTGCAGGAGCTGACAGGGGAGAGATCTTTATTGTTTACATACAGGTCTCTCTCCTGTCTGAGATACTCGGTGATCACCGGGTGCCGGCAAGTAATCACCAGCCAGGACCCGGTAATTGTAATTGTGAATGGCGGAGCTCTCCCTACCCTGAACTGCAAAATTACGTATATATACGTGATTTTGCGCATCCGTGCCACCCTGTAGCAGTATTTCTGCTATAAGGCGACGCAGAACCAATGAGCCCAATAGCACTTATAGTGTTCAATAGACTTTTTTTAATGCTTCCCGAGCAGCATGAAGCTGTGTGCAGGCAGCCTTATCAATGGAGCCACAGCAGAAACATACAGATGTCTAATTTATCTGTGTAAACAAACCAATTTCACTTTTAGGCTCCATTCACATCTTGCATAGTGGGAGCATTTTTTTTTGGCTTGTTTTACCCGAGACACGCATAGGGCAGCCTGTTGATTTCAATGGGCTGTGCTACAAGTGCCCCATGGAACATTTTGGCGTAATGTGGATTGCATGTTTTTTACTATGCATTTTGCTGCATTTGCCACTCGTTTTCACATGGAAAAATGTGTTTGCTTCTGTGTTTGGTGTGCACAACTAGTTAATTTTAGGTGTATATAGATGGCCATACACAATGCAATCTGATTGTACAATCTCTGTACAATTGCCCTTAGATTTTCCAGAACTATGCAACAGGAGGACCCATCTATCTACCCAATCACTCTGTATCCAATTAGGCAGGCCCTTGCACTACATAGCTGATGGTAGATCTAAAGGAGATTGTACAATCAGATTGTATAGTGTATGTGCAGTTTACAAAACCTAGCATACAATTCGCCTGTTTTCAATACTACAGCTCTATCCACAGGCTGTTATCTGTTCACTCAGCACACTTTGCCAAATGAATGATATATGCAAGATGAAAGTTTAGGTAGAAAAATAAAAATCAATGTCTTTGTATTTAGTGAGAACAGTGATCACTGACTGATTGCTTTTCATTTAATATTCATGCACTTGGAAGTGGGTGGGAGGTAGGAGGGTAGATGATGCAGGGTGCGTGCCGATGAGGTCAGCTGGTCAACTTCTTCCTGTGTCATGACCTAAAGTCTCTCCCAGTAGTAAGGCAGAAGTAATGGAGAAGCTTTTTGGACAGCCATCTGGCCTGACATAAAGGTGGATGGGAAAAAAGGGGAAAGCTTTTGAATTTCGGCAAAAGAAGTCGATTAATACTATATATATATATATATATATATATATATTTATACATACATTTGAAAATTCAAAGTTGATAATAAATAATATAGTGCAGCGCTGTAATACTGATATAAATAGAGAGATATAAGTAAATAAAAATAAATAAAAGTTCATAGAGTTCTTTATACAGTGAAAAGTGATTGCAAACGAAAGTGTTGTGAAGACCTCCTCAGCATTAAATAAGTGACTGGAACCATATAGATAAAATGCGCACTCACCGAACGCGCATTTAAAATGCGCATGTATGCAATTATTTATCCGGGTAATCGGCCAGGCATATGGATCAGCCAAACATATAGGTCATCCCCTCTCAGGTAAAACTTCAGCCTTGGGTGCAGTAATATGCCTCTAGGTCCAGAGAGCCTTCTTGCCCAAAGTGTTAAGGTAGGTTAAGCTCCCTCTCCTGGTTGCAAGGTACCCTAGGAATTGGCTGCTGTAAATCTGGAACCCAATCAGATGTGGTGACAGCTTTAGTTTTCTTTTCTTGGGCTTTTTTCCCTTTGTTTTCACCTGGTGATTTGAACATTAACACACTTCAGGTATGAGAGGGCCCTGAATCCAGCGGTCTGACAGGCCTGAGTGCTGACATCCGCTCCGTCTCCTGGAGTCAACACCAATTCAAAATTGATACCCTGAGGAAGTCACGTGGTAACGTGACGTAACGCGTGGGACATGGTGACGTAATTTCCGGTCGTGCTGACGCAACTTCTGGCATGGACGCCATCTGGGACTTCAATAAGGATCCATGTAAAGTATACCCATAGCATGTGGTTATGCGCTAAGGCTTATGTTTGAATTGTCAGATGTGAGTGGGACTTGTATTATTTTAACCATTCAGTAAAATAAACTGTATTACACTATGGGAGCATCTTCCTTTCTCTCTTTGGCCGTGTGAGGAGTGACCATTTCCGGGACAATTTTGAGGAGGCTGTTTGTGGTACCTTTGCCCACCAGTGAGGGGGATTGACACTACTTTGGACCTTACATCTGCAGGAGGGGGTCCAGGTTCCTGATCGGTGTGGTATTTTCCTAAAAGGCGTTTTGACCCTGTAGGGTCACTTCATGGAGGTGAGGGGCCATTTCACATAGTGTGGGACTCCCATCAACCAGCTCTGTATACACATATACTAAAGGGACTACAGAACACTTCCACCATTTTAGTGGTTTTGGACTCTTTTTAGTCTATATTTTCTGGAGTTAAATTTATTTATTGATTATTTATTTATGAGTTATTTTGGAGGTTTTGAGCCACTTATTGTGTCACGGTTTTACGTGTACGTTATGTCATATCCCCGCATTTGGGGTCACTTATCACTTCTTTCTTTATAGGCGGTGCAGCCTATAATTTTTTCTCACCTAATTGATTTTGTCACAAGTTCACGTGCTTATCCGCAACATTGGGGTCACACATCAATTAACTTTTTTTCCTTTTCTTTTACAAAGAATTTTATTGTAGATTGAGCAATGATAAACAAACATTCGGAACATAGAATACTTGACCAATACATAGGAAATTGTACTGTATGATTGAGAGATAATGTAAAGCGTACACTGGAATAAAAAAAAAAAAACCCAAAACATCAGCTATAACTTATTACAGAAATGCCCGGTAGAAAAGATACGATTCACAATCTTTGATGGTCAATGATAGTGTAGATTCTGAGAGAGAAAATTGCTACATCGAGAAATATTAGACAAGAGTATAAAAAAGACACAGACCAAGAGGAGAGAGAAGAAGAGATATAAAAAAAAAAGGGGAAGGGGGGGGGGGAAGTAGGGCTCCGAGAAGATCACAGCAGAATCCAACCTCATATCGACAGAAGGGACTGGTCGAATCTCGATGGTTGGGCTATATCCAGCCAGGGACGCCATATCCGCAGAAATTTTGTATGGGTATCCAATAATATGGCCGTCAGTTTTTCATTAACCATGATGAAGTTCATCCGATTTTTGACAGCCTCAAAGCTGAGAAGAGGAGTCTTCCAAGCCCTCGCAATTGTCAATTTAGTAGCCATAAATAAGTATGATGCCAGCTGCCATTCAGAACGGAGAAGGCCCTCCATTGGTTTAAATAGAAGCGATTCGTACGGGTTACGCTTAATGTCTATGTGAAGCATAGTGCGAAGGAGGGCATACACCCTAATCCATAATCTGCTTACTTTAGGGCAAGTCCACCAGATATGAGCCATGGTACCCAATTGTTGGCATCCCCGAAAACAAACCGAGGAATATGTAGGGATGAAACTAGCTAAACGAGCAGGCGTATAATACCATCGATAAAGAATTTTGTAGGCATTCTCAAGAATAATGACATTCCTAGAACATTTAGATAATGCTTGGGTCATGGTCCGCCAATCCTGTTGGTCTAAAGTCCCCCCTAATTCAGACTGCCAGTGCTGATGATAGGAGCGAACCGGAGGGGTTCTATAAGAAATAATGGAGGAGTAAATCAGGGAAATCAAACCCGAAGCATGGGGTCTGTGTCTGCACTGGCTTTCAAAGGGAGACAGACGATACGGTCCCGAATGCGTGCGTATTAGTGTATTGACAAAGTGACGAAGTTGAAGATATCCAAAGTGTTCCCGCAGAGGAATATTATAAGAAGAGCGCAGAGTTTCAAAGGAAAGTATTCGAGTGGGAGATAGAAGTGAATGTACATCGTAAAAAACCATGCGTCTGCCACCAGGCAAACTGTCTGGGGTTGTCCGGCCTGGAGGGAATAACGGGTTATGCAATAGACGTAACAGCGGCAGGTGAGCAGAAATAAGGCTGGCGGAATATTTGATAGAATCCCAGAGACGGAGCGAAAGCGTCAGCGTCGGGCTAAGGGTAGATGGACGTTTAGAAGTAGGAAGCCATGGCAAGGAGGAGAGCGGTATCGGGTGGGAGTCCATCATATCCATGACAGCCCACAAGGGAAAGTGATGAGAAGCATGGATATGAGCCAAAGGGGCAATATTAGCCGCCAGATAGTAAGACTGGAGATTTGGGACCAATAACCCACCCTCACTCCTATGCGCGAACAAAATATGTTTACTAATTCTGGGCCGGGAAGAACTCCAAATAAAGGACAAAAGTTTTCGCTGATGAATACGCAATATATGCGAAGGTACCGGAACTGGTAAAACCCGAAATAAGTACAGTAGTTTAGGAAGATAGGTCATACGGATCGCATTAATTCTGCCGAACCATGAAAGCGGGAAATGAGACCAGGAGGGTCAATAATTCGGTCAGCTCCTGAAAAACAGTGGGAAAATTAGCCTGATACAGTCCGTCATATGTCAGGGTGAGCTTAATTCCTAAATATGGTAGGGCCGAATGCCATTGAAAAGGAAACATTTGCTTCAAAGTCGTCAAAAGTGATGGTGGGAGGGTAATCGACATAGCTTTCGATTTGGCGGGGTTAACGTGAAGACCCTAAAGAATTGCAAAGGAATCGAGAACCGCGAGCAAATTAGGCAGAGTAACCCCCGGATTCGAAATTGACAATAGTATATCCTCTGCAGAGACAATTTATGTTGGGAGCCCGCCACCTCAATCCCCTTGATATCATGGTTCATACGAATGGCTTCCGCCAACTTTTTTTTCCTTTTCTATAGGTGGTGTAGCCTATATTCCTCTTTTTTTCACCATATAAAGTTTTTGCAGTCACCCAGTCATTATATTCTGCTTTATCCCCAATTGAGATCACTATTATATTTACAATTTTTTCTTCAGTTACAACAGTTGGTCTCGGTTGACTTTTATAAATTTTTGGTATATTTGTGGTCTTTCATCTATTACTCACATATGGGACGATGATTGTCCTTTTTTGCTAGTTTTCTGGACTTACCAGGTTGGCACTTCTATAATAATA